CTCAGCCTGGGGGGTATTTGAAGGTCTGGGTTTTCAATTCCGGCTTTATTTAGATTCCTCTTCCACTTCCTATTTCTGGAAACTCTGATCCAGTGTGTCTGGAGAAGAAGGGCTGGGGTAGGTACCTGGTCTGTGCCTTACCCAGGCCATGCATCATTGGTTATTGATGGAATTCAGGGATGTGAATGAAAGCAAGAGAACTGAGAGAGCACACACCGGCATCAGTGACGGGTATAGCTTGAAAAAGGCCCTCTCACAGCAGGGGAGACAGGCAAGGAGCATGTTGGAACAGACCAGATGAGAAATAACCAGCATTTTAGCTGAGGCTAGAGTAAAGAGGTTGGAAAAATATTTGGGAGAGAGCATCTAGAAGGCATGGGAGGGATTTGAAGAAGGAAAGCCGAGTCAGCATGCCATTGGGGATGCCCTGTAGGATAAAGACTGTCCTTTGATGAGGCACACGGAAGGCAGCAGCAGCTCACGAGAGGACAGTTTCAGTGGGAGGAAGAAGGCAGAAACCAGATGGCCTTGGTTGAGGAACTTAAGTGTGCATTCAGAAATGCCCACACTTTCACTGTGGAAGTGACCCCGGGGGCTGAGATGGAGCTCTATGGATGAAGATGACAAGCTGGGAGTGTAGGTTGGGGCCATGTTATAGGGGTTAAGTTATCGGTAATGGGAAGATCCGATTCTCTACTCTTAGGCTAATGTTAGCATGAAAAGTGAGAGGATTAGGACGAGGAGGGTGAAACTAGGCACAGCTAAGGCTCCTTAGAAGGCCAGTGCCATTTTTTATGGTCCCGATGATTTTTAACAGCTATTTTAACAGCAGAATGATGAAAATGTGTGGTATTCTTTCTCTCTTGGGAAAATGTGGCCACTGAAAAAGGTCACAACTAATAGGAAAAATGAGTTTTATGGCTTAACTGTGGATTCAATTAATTTGTGTCTTCCTGTTTTCATTGCCACGTGTTTTCTGAGTTGACTAGTTGACTGGGCCAAGCCTCTTTTCAAGACTAAGAATGTTAGGAAAAAATACTCTGAAGTTTTTCCTCGTTCTGCAAGTATTCTACATAAAGAAATCCAAATATGTACAGGACCATGTAGCTAGTTTAGCCTCATTTTTGTATTATTTGAGATGTAAAGAAGAAAGATTGAGCTCTGCGTGATGATGGTTTAAATCAGGGTCTTTGAACCTTGCCCAACTGGAATTTGGAGGTGGCATGATTTTGGTGTACATTGCAGGGTAGTTAGCAGACCCCCTGGCCTCGCTGCCTGTTAGGTGCCTGTACCATCCCACAGCTCCCAGTTGTGAGTGACAAAAGTATCTCCTAATGTTGCCCAGTATCCTATAGGTGGAAATTGGTGTGGAAGGCAAAATTGTCCCTGGTTGAGAACTCTTGGTTTAAATATATTGTAGTGATTTTATTAGAAAATAACCACTTCCTCCTGCTGCAGTACTGATAGCTTTATTGAAGCTGTGGAATCTCAGAAACTTTTTATCACCAGAAGAAAACTAATGAATATTTATAAATTCTCTCCCTTATGTAAAGTTTATTTAAAATTAAAGAAAAAAAGCAAAGCTGCCTTGCTGGTTGCTGTGTATTCACCTAACTGTTCTTCTAACTATCTTACTTACTCTTTCTGGATCTACTATTATGGAATTTTACAAGAATCAATATTGGCATTTTTTTCTGTGCCATGATTCTCTATCCTAATAAAGGATATTATGCTCAATTAGAAAATGCCACATAATATTGCCGTTCAGATTTAGATGTGAATTTCACACAGAACCTGGATTCTAGTGTTAGTTTCACACCTAATACCTTCTAATTTGGAGGATGGCCCTTTAGTCTTCCCGTACAAATTTTCTCATCTGTAAAATGAAAGCAATAAATTTTTTCATCTATAAGTTTGTTTCTAGTCCTAAACATCAAAGCTTGAAATATTTATATTGCTTCTTTGGGTTCCGTGCTCCTGTGACGTCTACCCCAATGTGATGATACCCACCGCTCTGTGGGTCACCAGTGGTCCATGGACTATGATGCTGGTCTGTAGTAAGATAAGTGCAGAAATGGAGAATAAGCAATTAGAAATTGTTTATGATTCCACCAAGTATTTTATGCTGATTACATAGGATAATAAAAGATTGAGCTTATATTTTGTTTCTTCTAAATTTAATTTTTCTAATAAGTAATTTTTATTATATTTCATAAAACTATAATTCCACATTGGATTAGAAAAACAAAAACAAAAGAGATTGGTCTTTTGCTAAAGGTAGTTTGCTAAAGTAGTTTGAGAAGCACTCTTCCATATATTATGGAAAATTTTCTCTGCCTCTCTAAGAAAGAATGAGTATATTCCTCCTCTGGAATTTAAATAAAAATAGGGCAAGATATTATATGTTTACCTTATTAGCATCATAACGTTGGTGGTGAGTAGAATTTATTTTAAAGAATTTGTTTAACAGAATATGTGGTCATTTATTTCTGGAGTATACAAATAATTTACTTTGATTTCTGAGTCTTCCTATAGCTCAAGTGACTGACTTGCATTAAGGTGACATGTTTATTGTGGAGCATGAACCCAAAGAATTGTGAAAAGGTCCTTTCTTTAATTAGCCTATTCCCTAAAATCCTGACGGGAAATCTACTCGAAATCTTGATAATCTGAAGTCTCCTAAGTAGCTGATGCTAGTGAGGGTAGGTGGAGCGTCAAGGTGTGGATGGAGTTTGCTATAGAGATTTTCACAGGTGTTTTGGAGTCTACTCAGTCACTCAGGTTCATTCATTGCTTGGGTAAATCTATTATAGAGACTCAGGCATGGTAGACTGACACGTAGATAAGGGCAGTTAAGCAATGGAGCACTTTACAATCTGACCTTCGTATGATTTTTCCAATCTGACCTTCCTATGATTTTCCAGTATTATTGCCCAATCTTTTTTTATGTGGTAAAATATGATAGAAGAATAAGGCTTTGAACTGAGAGTTATTTGAAGCAGAAAACACTGCTGGGTTCTCTAGACTGTGGACCAGTTGTTCCAACACCCTTGATCCCATACAGAGTGGAATAATCCAGAGAGCCAGTACTACCCCCGGGGGCCCTTTGCACATGACCTGGCATTACTTAGAGACAGTCTCTTAACCTGCAGTTCCTCCCCAGCCGGTATGGGTTTTGTAGTACACTTCCTCCTCCAAAGTAAAAAAGGCAAGCTCTTTGCCTGCCCTATTAGCAGCGAAAAATCACCCTTTCTTTCAGTTTTTTAAAATTCAGATGATGAAAATACATAACATATTCAGAAACTCTCCTGGCAGACTTACTTGGCAGGCGTTTCGTATTTACTTGGATTTAACATGAATTGGATTTGGTTCTCTGATTTCCCTGCCTCCATCTCTCGGAACAAGTTATTTATTATCTGAGTGAGTCTGTGTTAGTGGATCAGACATGCACATGGCACGTCTCTTGTAAGTGCGCTTGTTCGGTAAGATTTATGCTAGCCCAAATTGTTTTATATTGGTTTTCATTGTTGAAAATTTACTGTATTCATTCTCGGTTTGGCATAAGTATTTGTAGTGTGCTAGGGGTTCCTGTGGTTGCACACATTTTATCTCTGTAACACTTCATGCAAAGGAAATTAAAAAATATATAGTGAAAGCATTTCCCTAATGTGTTTCCAATCAGCTGTGTATGTGAGTAATTTGATTTGCAGGAACTAGAGGGCAGAGTATTACTGAGCTCTTTTTGATCATTCATAATTCTTTGGGAATTCAGATCATGGTTCTAAGTTTATGAAAACATCTATTGAATTAAGTCCTATATTATTCTGCTTAAATGTAATGCATGGAGAGGGTTTTTTTCCATAATAGTATCTAAAACATCTCATGGAAGGAGGTGAGTCTCCTCTCTGTGTCTTGAACAAGAGATACTTGTGAACTGAGATGGATTAGCTTATTGGAAGTCAGTCATCCAAACAAAGAGCCACCCCTTTTATTTTGGCGCTGTCCCATGTATGTCTTTGTCTTCTGTACTTCTTGGCTTAAGTCAACCAGACTATTATTGGTAAATCTCTTTGCCTGCTGGGCTCCCAAGGATACGGTGACTGTCAGTACAGCTAAGTGTACCTTCCCAGTTAGCATAACTCACAGCACGGAGGGTGTTTTTTGTACAAACCAACATAGACGGAGGCTGTGATCTCCACACCATTATTTATTTGGCTTTCTCTATAGGAACTCAGGCTAATTGGCTTGTTTTGCTTCTTGAGGATCTCTGGCCTTTGACTTCTGTTTTCGCCAATGACTTAGTACGACTTCTGTTTTGGCCCATAAATTAGCAGATGGTAATCTGTACATAGGTAGTTTTAGATTTGCTTAGTCTAGGTATTAGATTAAGATTAGATTAGGTATTAGATTAATCTAATTTACTACCTAAAAACAAAATCAAAGTGAACTATGAAATCATGGTTCTTAGCACTAGAGATAAGAATTGGAAGGGTTTTATCTCGTGAAGACAGTAGCTTTTCACGGGTCTTAGGTGGGTATAGAATTTTGCAATCAGGTCCCATATTTTTAATTTTCTGCTTTTACTTCCTACCACATTTTAAACTTTCCTCTTGACCCTCAGCAATTTTGAGTGCGTTCAGTCACTTGTAAGATTCCCTTTCACAGTGGCATTTTCAGCTCTGATACTTCTCATATGTCATTAAGCACAAATAAAGTTGTGAGGGTATGTGTTTTGGCCATGAGAGTTCATTAATCCATGGTTTTCCATTTGAAAATATAATCCATGAGGTGAATCTTCTCAGTAGTCAAATAATTAATGTAAGTAAATGCCAAGTGGATGGTGGGAAGTCGTAGTTGCATTTGGGGGAAAACTAGCCAGGGAACATGGTGGCTCCTGCGGTCACTAGTCTGGCTCAGAGGATATAACTTCTTTGGTTCCAAAGATAATGGAAACCTATGTGTATTCTTAGCCTTTCTTCCTGCTTCTGTTTCCTGTCTAGGTTGCACCTATGAAGGAGATACTTATAACAGTTCCTTCAAATGGCAGAGTCCAGCTGACCCCTGTGTCCTGCGCCAGTGCCAGGTAAAATTTTCAGTAAAAGGTATCCATAGAGTCCCCTTTCTGACATGAAACAAAACCCCCCAAAGGCAAAGAAAAATGAAAAACAAATTAAAAAGCAACTTTATTTCTGTATATATTTGTTGTGGCGTTTACCATCATAAGGCAAGTACAGGATCGATGTTATGTAGGCCTTGCTCCAGAAACACGCAGCAGAATTGCTCACCATTGTCAAATTGTGCCTAGAAAAATCTGGAAAAATGTGCATGTCCTTGGGGAAAACATATATCTTCCTGTGAAGTCATCTTTGAGCAAAACACAAATTCCTATTAGCAGAAAAGAGGTATTGTTAGAGGGTACTTATTTTGTCTTTGATTCAGAAAGATTTTGAACTAAAGCCAATATGCAAACTGTTTAGATCGAAGCAGTTAGTACACTGTAACTCAAGGATTTCAAATCGACAAATTTAAAGAACCACTGAGTCCATAACTAAGGAGCTTACTGTGGCTAATCTTTGATGAACTCTGAGTAGTCACATGTCCCAAATCTCTACAGATATTAAACACAGCAAGAAAAAACAGAGGGGAAATGAAAAGCCTGAATTTTCAAACTCATTTCTTATCTGTAGATGGCCTGTTAATAAACTAATGCTCATCTACTTTGGATATAACTTAAAAATTCTTCCTTGTAGAGAAGGTGCTGTTTAGTCATTTTTTCCCTAATCCCATTTCACTGGCCAAGGATATGCTTTTGAATTTAAAGGAGGTTGAAAGGTTAGTATAATAATGGATAATTCTCTCTGCTCTTATCTCAAGCATATAGACATTTCATTTATTAAAATCTGAATTTTACATAGTCCTGTTCCTATTCTATGCCCCTGGTAGGTGTATGCATTCATAAGCACTTCTATTATTTATTCTACTTAATATTCTCAGCTTACTTATGTAGGAATTCTAGCTTACTTGTGAAAATAAGAAGTAGGTAGAACCAATACAAATAATAGATTCATTAAATCAATAAAATTTGCTGAATTTTTATCCAGGTTCTAGTTTGAATCAGTCTCATGGTGCAAAGAGACCAGAGCAGTGAGTTTTAGTAACACCAAAAGCCCGCATTGTTCCACCCCGCCCTTCCCCTGCCTCCTCTCTTTGGTAGGGGAACTCTGAAAGCCATGGTGATGATGTTTGTTAAACAAGATGACCACATCCTCTTTGGGATCTAGTAAAACCTTTCTATGCAACAGTCAGGGGCCTTGAAGGTTCCCAGGTTGCATGGACCAGAGGTGAGTTTTGCTGCCCTTGGATGGAGAATTGTTTAAATTAAATGGAAACTATTCTTCCAGAGAGACCATTTTGTGGACTGAATAACATATTAAGCCATTATCAGTTGTTACCTCTGAGTCTCCTGTTACCTGTGCTTTTTGGTTGATGGCCACACAGCAAGGCCCAGAAGAACGATGCAGGAATCTTGAATTCTTGTTGGAAGAGAACTTAAAAAGGCCAGCAGCCTTCAGAGTTCAGAGGCTGAACTGCCTGTAGTTTTCAAACTTTGCCTTTTCCCCGCTAAATCCGATGATATCGTTCAATGAGCAAAAGCAACCCTGTGTGAAGGGAGCTGCGAGGCGGCCCCTCTGCTCAGCTGGAATGCTCCCTCGGGAGCTTACGCACCATGTGCTGCCTTCTTTAGGGCCTGAGACCTCTGTTCAGAATGCAGGGAATGGCCGTGGTCTGGTGCCTGTCAGGGAAGTCTTCGTGTTCCTCCCCAGAAGGACACAATCCCTTTCTTTCTCTGCGGGTCTCCTCTCCCTGCGCAGCATCAGTGAGAGAGGAGCCGGTAGAGGGCAGTAAGGGAGAGAGGGTCTCTGCCGCCCAGATAACCTGCTGCTTAACCTCGCTGCACTTCACTTTTGCCCCTATAAAGTGGGAGTAGTATAGGGTGGTTGTAAGCAGAAGCCAGAATGTCACTGAAAATGCTCTGGTAGGGAGGCCTGCAAGGGCTGGGTCCAACGTGGCACCAGACAGACAACAGGGAGGCTAATGATCAGGTCTGTTTCCATTTGAATTGAATTCTAGCGTATTTCTTTTTACTTTTTCTTTTCATTTTTTATAGACAGGTCCTCCCTCTGTCACCCTCACTGGAGTGCAGGAGCATGATCACAGCTCACTGTAGCCTCAGACTCCCGGGTGCCAGAGGTCCTCTTGCTCTGGCCTCCTGGGTTGCTGGGATGATGGGTGTGAGCCTCCACACCTGGCATCTATCAT